TTATTACTACTACTACTACTACTACTACTACTGCTACTGCTACTGCTACTGCTACTGCTACTGCTACTGCTACTACTACTCCTACTCCTCGTCCTCCTCCGCCTCCTGCTCCTCTTCCTCATCCTCATCCTCCTGCTCCTGATCGTCTTGCTCTTCCGTTTAATCCTCCCTCCTCCTCGATCCGCTTCCTCCCTTCCTACCCTTCCTCCTCCTCTCTCTGTTCCTCCTCCCTCCTCCTCCTCCTCCTCCTCTGTCTCCGCCTTCTTCTGCTCTCTCCTCCTCCTCCTCCTCATCATCATCATCATCCTCATCCTCCTCCTCCCCCTACCCCTCCTCCTCCTCCTCCTCCTCCTCGATCCTCCTCGTCCTTCCGCGACCGCGATCCTCCTTCTCAAGTTTCAGGACTGCGGGCTGTGTCACCGGAACGATTGGAACCCTCGTGATCCTTTTTGCCATCCTCCTTCTGCTCATCTTCCTATGTATCCTCCCTCCCCTGTCCTCCTCCTCCTCGTCCTTCCGCGACCGCGATCCTCCTTCTCAGGACTCAGGACCGCGGACTGTGTCACCGAAACGGTTGAAGCCCTCGTGATCCTCCTTACCATTCCCCTCCTGCTCCTCTTCCTATTCATCCTCCCTCCCCGATCCTCCTCCTCCTCCTCCTCCTCCTCCTACTCCTCCTCCTCCTCCCTCCCCGATCCTTCCCCTCCTCCCTCCCCCGGTCCGAGCCCAGGCCTCCGACGATGCTACTTGTTCGATCGCTTTTTTCGGATGCACGCCGAGGCTCTAGATCTTGGGGCGTTTTCGTTGATTCCTGGCGGAGCTGCAGCCCCGGAGTACTTGCCAGCAACCGCACCTCCCTCCCAGAACGTTCCAGGGATGCCCGTATCGTCCCGAACGGCCGCCGGAGAGCCGAGGTATGACATCCGACGATTTCTTGTGCTGAGGTCGGGCATGTCCTCCTACAGGCGGTTGACAAAAATAAAGAATACTCAGCCAAATACCCCCAAAATAGTAAAAACATGATCAACAGACCGTCCCAAAACTATCTTTAAACTATTTTTGAAGATGCCTCCTTCAGAAGGACATGCCCGGCTTAACCCCAGGAGCCGCTTTCGGGCCCCAGGGCCATCAAAGAAGGATCCGGGGACAAAAAGCCAATTACCCGGGAAAGGGGCCTGCCCCAGAGGCCTCCAAGAGGCCTCCCAAGAGAGGGCCCCAAGAGGCAAACAACATTAATTCTACACAAAGGTTTTGAAGGATTTTGGCTTTCCCGCCTTTTCGGCTTCCCGACGCTCCAAGACGGCCCATACCACCCCAAAAAGGCCCAAGAGGCCTCCAGGAGGGCCCCAAGAGGGCCTAAGAGCGCCCCAAGACGGCCCAAGAGGCACCCACGACTGCCCAAGAGGACCCCAAGACGGCTTCAAAAGGGGCCCAAGAGAAGGAACGCGAACCGAACATCCTAATATTCCGCCCCAAGAGGCCCCCAGGAGGCCCCGAAGAGGCCCGGAAGAGGCCCCCACACGGCCCCCAAGAGGCCTCAAAACTGCCTCCAAGAGGCCCCTGAGAGGCCTCACGTGAGATCCAACGAACATCCAATAGGCTTCAACCCACAATCCAGGCACAATGGCGGGACTTGCCGCAGGCAGCTGGACAATTACTCGGGGGTCCGTGCGAATTTCTGGGATCGGCGCCAGACCCCCCCCTCCCTGGCGCGTGGAGCGCGCCAGGGGCTGCACCAGAGGCTCCGCCAGGGGGACCCAGCGCCGATCCAAGAAATCTGCGAAGACGTCTTAGAAATTATGTCTCCACGTCGATCGGAAGTAAGGGAAAATATGAAGCAGGAAGGCGTAAAAGTAGATCGGGGTCAGGCCCGCCAAGAAATGAACGAAACACAGCAAAGCCATATCGATTCTTGAAGTGGGAAGGCGCTCGAAGCAAATTGGAATCTGGGGATCCTAAAATACATACTTTCAACGACCGGCGTGCACGCGAGATGGCATAGCGACCTTACGTCGTTGCTCTTGCGGGCCGCTGCATTGGAGACGAGGGCGCGTGTTCGTGACCTTGCGCGAATACTTACTCGCTAATGTCGGTGAAGGCGACCCTGCTCTCTGCGTCGCCCACGTGGCCCCAGCAACACGCGGCCAGAGAGAAAGGGAGAGAGAGAGAGAGAGAGAGACAGGGAGAGAGAGCGGGAGAGAAATTCGCCGGCCCAACGGGCCAGGGCGTGCTAAGATCTCCGGTACCTGGTTAACAGTATTAACAGTATTTCTAGTTCGCGCTCTCGGGGCGGCCCCTGGGGGTCCCCCGGCGAAAAGTACCCCGACCAACGCCCGACCAAGTCTACTCAGAGATGGTTTTCCTTCTGGGTGCGGCCTCTCAGGCTCCCCAGAGCGCGCTCAGAGTGCCCCAAGAGGCCCCCAAGACTGCCCAAGAGGCCCCCGAGACGCCCAAAGAGCGCTCGAAGACGCCGAAGATGACCCCAAGACGGCCCAAAAGG